TCACCCCTTTGCAGAGTGACTCTTAACCCCTCTGCCAAACACCCCCCTCCCCCAGACTCCACTCCTCTATAATTAGGCCAGAGCTCATCGCAATGCATTTCACTGCAGAGGTTGGGAAACTTAATACTTGAATTTTAACTATGTACCCCTATCCTCATACCTATGCGGCCTCCCCGTCTCGTTCTGCCACCCCGACCTCACTGCGTCACCGCCAGCATGCCACCCGAGTTTTTTGCTCCATCCAAAAACCGACTGATTATCTCAGAAATAACAAATCTTCACACTCATCTCTCTAGAGACTACTTGACATCCTGGCAGTCACATACATTCCCATGCATGCATGTGTGCATGTAGACTCACATGTTTTTACCTCCCCAGTGGGCAGAAACTGAATCCACATGACACACTATCCGGGTTGTATATATAGCTGTTTAATAGTTCTACTGAGACTGCATGAAAAGTGGTTCGTAGGCACTTGTTACGTGTTTGTAAATGGAGAAATGCTTCCTGGAATTCTTTATGATGGACCTGTAGACTGAATGTGACAAGTAAAAGAGCATGAAATGATGAAGGGCTGTCATTATTGATTGTATATATAAATATATATGTATCTATATGATATATATGATAAACTGTTAATGGTGCTTGTGCAGTAGATTTGTTTGCTTTGGCAGTCCCTCTCCTTAAATGTTTCATCACAGTCATCCTTATTGTGACTGCAGCTACGTTGCAGTAAGTATGATAATATGCAGGGAAAGACACTCACTAATCCTCAGGGTGCTGGAGCACTTCTAGGATTCTCAGGCCCCTTGTCAAGGATGTCACTGCTTCCTCCTGCTCTAATGCATCTGGAGTATCATCTCTTGTCAGTAATGGGAGTCTTTGAGCTGCCACTCCTCTGCATCCCTCTGAGGAGAGTAGTGACCGAAGCACACCTTTACAGTATTTTGTAATCGTTCATGCAAAAAACGTGCATGAGGTACCAGATGGCCCTATGAGGCGGAAAAAAGTTATTTGGAGGTAGGGCTCAGTGAATTAACTTTCAGTTGCTCTTCTCATTATCTTCTCTGGCAAGTACCACCCATCTGGCACTATCCATATATTTGCAAATATTAGGAGCCTCAAGACTGACAGGGAAGGTTGAAATCGTTTTAGGATCACAGCAAACAAAACATTAGCTAAGAGTCCTTGAGCCACAGTAACTACTAAGAGCAGTGTTTATGACAAACTGTTTGTGTTATTGACAAGTGGTGAAATATCACAGTTGCTGTAATGTACTGCACTCACTTTAAAATTCTACTCTACCAAATATTTATGGAAAATAATGCAACGATTGCTCCAATACGTCAAACAGTTAAATCTGGCTTTAGCAGATTAAACTGCAGCATTAAAATTGCGCCTGTATGTTAGTTAAAGGATGACGATAATAATCCTTCTTCTTCGTCTTTCGGCTGCTCGCTTGAGGGGTCTCACCTGCCTCCATCTCAGCCTATCCCTAGCATCCTCCCCTGTCATACCAACACTCTTCATATCCTTCACAACACATCCATAAATCTTCTCTGTGGTCTTCCTGTTTTCTTCCTGCCTAGAAGCTCTATCTTAAACATCTTTTGTCCAATTTATCCACTATTCCTTATGTGAACATTTCCAAACCATCCTAACTTTGCGTGTCTAACTTGTCAACTACTCAACCTAACTGCTCCCTCTGATTTTCTCATTTCTAATCCTGGCCATTCTGGTCACGCTTAGTGAAAATCTTAACATCTTCAAATCTGCCACCTCGAGTTTCCTGTCTTTTGGTCAGTGCCACTGTCTTCAAAACATAGATCATAGCAGGTCTTAATACTGTTTTATAAACTTTCACTCTTGCTGCTATAATTCTGCCACTAACCACCCTGACACCCGTTTCCATCCACTCCACCCTGCTTACACCCTCTTCTTCACCTTTTTTTGTGCTCTATATGCTGCTTTGCATGGTATTTAAACTCACCTCCACCTTCACTACATCTCCTTGCAACTTTACCTTTTCTGTCTAGCTCTCATTCACACGCATGTAGTCTTACTTCTACTAAATTTCATTCTTCTTCTCTCTTGAGCATACCTCCGCGTCACCAGGTTCTCTTCCACCTGGTCCCTACCCCTACTTCAAATCACATTGTCATCTGCAAACATCACAGTCCTCAGAGACTCCTGTCTGACCTCATCTGTCAGAATGTCCATCACAATCGCAGTATGATAATAATCCAACTATTTCATAACATAAAAGTGACAGAGGCCATCATGAGTACCTTTAGTTTTGATGCTTTAAGTAAATTTTGTTGTAAATACCTTATCTCATGGCACTTTTTTTAGATTACTTTGATATGGATCAGAGTTTGTGAAATGGTCTCTTGACCAAACAGTTGAATATGCTCACATCGTGTTCAGACTACTGGCTTCAAGACACGTTCAGTGGAGGCATGTGATGTAACGTGCCAAACTGTCGCACAACACTTGGAGCTCGGTGACAGTCATGATGGTGTAGAGATGAAAGCTGGGTTCTCCTTAATTTTTTAGCTCTCTAATGATACGGTGAAGTACTAACTTCAACTCTGCAACAATGTAACTGGCCAAGCTTTGGCATTTTACCATTTTGTCACTTGCAGAGTGAGCAGAAAAATCAATTGCTCTCCTTAGCTGTAATTGAAAAAAAATTTTTTTTAAATTATGCAAATATTCGCTTATTTCAAAGTATTAAGTGCAAAAAAGGATCTTCTAGTTAACTGAGAAGTCCATTCTCAGTCATGAACTAGACTTGCAGATCTCACTTTCAAGGTCATAGTTTGGTGCACTTCTGGGTGGTTTTCAGCAGCATTCTGTTTTTAGATTGTTCCTTACAAGTACCACTGTGTCTCTTGGCACTTGTTTCTCTGCAGTGGGTGCTGGATTTCTTCCAATGTGTCAAAATGGGGATCCTTCAACTTGATTTTCCTTTTTGGGAAGTGGATGAAGTTGCAAGGAGCCAAATCTGGTGGTGAGCAAAGGTTGTGTTTGTCTAGCCAAGAAATTTTGCGCTTTTTAGTGCACTCTGAGTGGGACAGTGGCACGGCTGCCCCTCTGTTGGTCTTCCTTGGTCTCTTGTGTTCTGGGGGCCTCTGGATGTCTGGAGTCTTGATCTCCTCCATACCTGCTTCATGCCCTGGAGGACGGGGCTGTGGCCCCCCCACACCCTCTAGCAGATCATTACATGAAGGAACCTTTTAAAAAAACAAGCGCATCCATGCTCACAGGTGTACACACGGGTGATCACACCCACAAACTACACCCTTTTTGGCTCCTACCTCAAAGCACACTGTGTTCTGTTGATCTTATGAGCTGCACAATAATGTTTAATATTTAGTATTTACTGTCATATTCCCATATATCATTGTGATGTTGTTTATTCTATTACTCTTGTTCTCTTCTGCTTGTTTTCTTTTTTCTTTCTCAGCAGGTGATCCAGGTGATTGATATATGCATTTTTTTCTGCCCATTCTGTTGGTTTTTGTTTTTTGCCCTTCTTCCCCGTCCCTCTTCTCAGCTGTTTCTCTTTCCCTCTTTCTTTCTCCCCCTTCTTTCCGCCAGTCAAGTCTGTCCCGTATTCAGCAAGTGAAAATAAAATAAACAATAAAAGGTGAATCAAATGGACCATTATGGCAAGGCTGGGATGGTCAGTTTGGTAAAGTAAATCCGTTGGGCATCTTTCTTTGCCTTTAGACAATAATTCTGATGGCAAAAGAGCCAAACGGGACAGGCAAGAAGAATAAAATAAATAAATAAATAAATAAAAAAGGTTGTGTTTGTCTAGCCAAGAAATTTTGCGCTTTTTAGTGCACTCTGAGCCAGCACGAGGTGTCACACTCGTATGCCCTACAGTTAAGAAGGTGGAATATTCTCCCTAAGACGTTACAGCAGAACTCCATCTTTACAGCCTGTCCCTGGGGGCTGAATTCACAATGGTGAGCCCAAGAAAAGGAAAAGAAAAAGAAAAGATGAACATAGTCTCACTACTAATCTTGAAATCTGCAGACTCAACTCAGAACAACTGAAAACCACTTGGTCTCACCCAGCACCCCAGCTTTCATAATCAGCAGTTATCCTCCGCACAATATTTAGGTGAGTCTGAAACAGAAGCTGATGATTGCTCTCAGGTATAAGGTCCATGACCTCTGCCAAATTGCAGGTCACGGTGTAAGCAGTCTATAGGGAACTCTTGTTGTTGTTGTTTTTATAACTTTTTGATCCACTTATATGGACTGGAGAGTCTTAACTGACAGGAGTCATACTCAGTGCTGCGTTTAGCTACTGTTGCCCATCTGCTTCAAGGTTTGGCATGATGCATGTTCAGAGATGCTCCTCTGCATACCTTTCACCTGCATACCTGCAGACCATTCTCTGTAAACCCTAGAGGTGGTTGTGTGGGAAAATCCCAGTAGATCAGCATTTTCTGAAACAGACTGACAACAGCAACCATGCCACTTTCAAAGTTACTTAAATTGCCTTTCTTCCCCATTCTGAAGCTCGATTTGAACTTCAGCAGGTTGTCTCGCTGATATCTGTATGCCTAAATGCACTGAATTTCTGCCATGTGACTGGCTGATTAGATACTTGAGTTGACAACATAATAAAGTGTCTATCAAGTTAATGCCTAATTAACTTGTTTTTGTCAACCACCATAACAAATTAAAATAAACTAAATCATTTTATATATGAATATGCACTGAATATGAACGGAATTAAATCTGAATCTTTATGATTCAACTGTGTTTTTTCACAGCCTTCTACTGTAGCGCAACAACAGGAGAAAGAACATGAAACACAAATTAACTGCAGGACTTTTTTTTAGTGCAGTATTTGTAAAATATTGTATTGCTTCATTTACTCGGGTAAAAAACCAGAATATTCCACCTTTTTTTTTCAGTCAATTTGGAGGTTCTACTGAACAACAAAAAAAGGAAAAAAAAGACAGCACTCTGTAAATATTTCTGTTATTGTTTTTTTTATAAACTTCGTGCAATACAGTGTTTTAAGTTTATCACACATTTAGATAAACCATAATCATTTATCTAGATATATCTATTCTCAACTACATACTATTCATATTGCCCACATAAATGCTATCTGTGTGCATTTTTAATCACATTTTTTTCTTTTTCTGAAATGAAATCAACGAAATGAAAATAATCTGGAAGCATCTGGTCATTGTTTTTGTTTCTTCATTATACCACGTAGCAGGTGAATCCACAGTTTCCACCTAGATCTGCAGTCACTCGGGACAGTTTGGAAGAGGGTGGGATGGCTGGGTGTTACATGTGTCTACATTCTCATCCACATAAACAGCGCAGAGTTCAGACTCAGGAGTTACTGGGGAAGCACAGTGAAAGGAATCTTTGGGGAGCTTAAGGGGTTGTCTGTGGTGAAGCCGCCATTGGTGATAAAGTAGGGAAAACACTGATCGTGTGGCCGTAAATGGGCAGATATGGCGGGCCAGGGTTGGCGGTTGAAACCACCCGACAAGAGTCCAGGGACGGCACTGGGAGCAAAACACTTAAGCCAAACCGGCTCGTTCCAAAATGCATACCCATTTTGAACAGTGGTCCCGAGAAACATGTCTATAGACGTTACAAATATATGTATGCATAATTACAATGTACAGGTATCTTTTTTAAACCCTTTAACCCACATATACAGAGTGTTTTTCTTTTTTGCCACTGAAAATGATGATTTGCATGTGTCACTTTGGGACTTTTCATAGAAAAAAATCTGCTTTTTTTTGTTTTGTTTTTCTCCTCAGGCAGCAACCTTCACCTGATTCTGTACAAATGTGTAATTCTATGTCTCTTTTTTTTTTCCTGCTACGTCTGAGCAGAGGTTCTGTTAATGCCCAAGAACAAACATCTTCAACACGACTAGAGCTACAATTACTACTGTTCACACTGATTAGAATGGAAATAAGACTAACAGAGGCCCATAGAAAACTCAGACTCATAATAACAATGAAGTTGGTGAGCTGTCGCAGTCACTCACATTATTGTTGCATTTCTTTCAGTATCAATATTGGAAGACAATTTACAGTATTCACATCTGACTTCATCATATAAATGAAAATCATACAACATTTGGGTTAAAAAAGAAAAAATAATTATACAGGCTCTCATTCTCCCACGTTATTGTGCACACTCATGCTGGACACTGACATATTACAGCTCACTGTTAGTCCCAGTGGCTCTGCATGGAAGAGATTCACAGTAAAAGTCATAAAGGAAAAGAAAATGTGAAAATTAAAATTTCATTCTAAATTATAGTGTTTGCACATACAGCTAGCCTGTAATAACTCTAAGAATAATCACAACAACAATTTTACATCAATGATGGCCTGGTTAAATTAGCGGTAATATTGCACAAAAATTATGTGAAACATTTTCATAATAGCCCAAGGTTAATTGCGTTTGATCATTAACAAAATAAATCATTTCTAGCACATTAAAATATCAAAATAGTTTTATTGTGAAAGTTCATTGTTGTTGTTATTATCGCTCTGTTATTACTCTTCTTTTTATCCTCAGTGAGATTGAGTAGACTAAATAACAGTGAACATGGAGGGAGAGATGTAGCGTTTTACCTGTGTTTCTACCTCCTGTTGAGCCTGCAGTGCTCCTTTCTGGCTTCCCTCTTTCTTTACTACCCATCCTCCTCCCTCCTCACCTACCCCTCTAATACCCTTCCTCTAAACAGGTGTTGTTTTTCTATTGAGGGTGTTAGAGTTGCTCTCCCTGTCTCCCTTCAGCCTGTCCAGAGTCCCCATCCCTCGCTCCCTGTCGACTGTGGATGAGGTGAAGGGCGGAGGGCCAGAGCCCACAGAGTTGGGAATTGGTGGATTGGAGTTGGAAGAATTGGAAGGGTTGTGGGACTTGAGTGATGGGAGAGTGCCGCTCATCATCACCCCCCCTCCCCCTACGCCTCCATCCTTTGGAAAGCAGTTGTGGAGCTGGTAGAGCGTGGCCCTGTCCACCGTTCCATACATGGGCGGCAACCCTCCCAACTTGGGGTCACGGGACAACGTGTACAGGGAGATGTCTCCTCCAGCCAGGGCTGTGTGGGAGCGAGAGTGCGGGTTGGGTAGAGTGGACACTGAAATGGGGCCCTGGGAAAGTAGTGCAGAGGGGGGCAGCCCGAAGTTCTTTCCTCCACCTCCCCCCACAGGCGAGGGGTCTCGGGAGCGGGAAGGGTCAGTCGAACGGGATGAGGAGCGAGAGCGGCGGCGGAAGCGGTAGCTGGGCAGGCGGAGCATGGCGTGCGTGGTACTTTTGAAAATGTCGGTGCGAGAACGGCAGCGGAGCTCCTTGTTCTTCTCGATGTAGATGTTGACAGCCAGCACCCCCACCATTTCAGCCATAATGAAGGAAAGGCCTCCAAAGTAAAAGGACCAACCATAGGAGTACTGCCATTTCTTATCTTCATCCTTCTTCGGAGAAATGTCCCCCAGCGCAGCCGAGATGTAGACAATCACACCAATTATGTTGCTCAGACCTGCGACAGCACAGAAATACGATATTTATAAAAGATGTAGACAAACATGGGCCTGCATACAGTGCTAATACATAAATTTTTCTGACATTTGTTAATAAAAACAACAGGTAGCCATTAATTTGGCAGCGACAGGCACCCCCAAACAAAGCATAGAAACTGTTGTGCCACATGATATTCTCCAGAACACTGTTCACACATCTACCCTGCTAAAAAAAGGTATAACAACCATTTAAAAACAATCAGATCTCAATGGAAAAAAATGCAGGATATCTACACTGATATGGACTGGGTAATGCAATAGGTACAAACGGATCCTACATCATTTCAAGGAAAAGAAAATTGTCATCCTACAGAGAGCTGAATTCAAAGACACTGCAAAACCAAAGTGAAAAAATGATGCAGGACTGAAACAGAATGTCACACACATTAAATCTACCGGATTTAGATCAAGTGATGGTGGGAGCCAGTTAATGGTATCAATTCCTTCATCCTCCAGGAACTGCCTCCATGCTCTCAGCAGATGAGCATTGTCATGTACCAGGACGATCCCAGGACCCACTGCACCAGCATATGGCCTGACAGTGGACCCAAGGACTATATCCTGATACCCAATGGCAGTCAGGGTGCTGTTGCCTAGCTTGTAGAGGTCCTTGCATCCCTCCATGGATACGCCTCCCCAGACCATCACTGATCCACCACCAAAACAGTCATGCTGAATGCTATTACAGGCAGCATAACGTTCTTCTCCAGACCCTTTCACATCTCTCATGTGTTTAGGGTGAATCTGGTCTGATCTATGAAAAGCACATGGTGCCCATGATGGACCTGCAAATTCTAGTATTCTATGTCAAATGCTAACCAAATCGGGCTCCACAGCGCTGAACAGTGAGGACAGGGCCCACTAGACAATGTCAGGCCCCGAGGCCACCCTCACGAAGCCTGTTTTTGATTATTTGGTCAGGCACATTCACACTAGAGGCCTGCTGTAGGTAATTTTTGACCCTAGCAAAATGCAAAACTAGTGAAAAAACAGTCAGGAAAAATAAGGAGGGAAAAATGTAATTTCCTCTCTAGGGGATTGTCTCACTGTTGTCCCTCTAGTGCATCCGTGTTAATTTCATTAACTCCAAAAGAGATGAAACTGATTAACAACCCCCTCTGCTACTTAACCGACCAGATCAATATCCCAGAGGTGTAACTGACTTGGCACTACTATAAAAATGTGTTCCTGTAATTTTTTTATAGCAGTGTAGATAAATAAATGAAGACATGTGCACACAAGCACAGATACTGAGCTACATACAGAGTTACGTAAAACAGTCCTCACTTACCTGCAGCCACGAAGAGGATCCCTGCCCCCAGGATAATATTCCTTTTGCTTTTATAGAAACGACTAGCAGCAATGCAAACTCCTCCCATCAGCAGAAGGATGGCACTAAGGATGGGGAAGATGTTGGAAGCCCTGACTACCCCTAAAAGAATGGAAGATGAAGAGTAAATGAAACAAGCAAAAAGCTATTACTGTGCAACATGACATCAAGAAACTTAATGAATAGAAGATTTTCACCAGATCAAAACTTGCTTTTGATAAAGTTTGTGTAATATAATCAAATTACCTAAATAAGCACAAGTTATTTAGCTCTTGTATACAGGACAGAACAGTCAATTATGTCATAGGTTTTCTAACAGAGTATCACAAGCATTTTATTCTGAAATAGGTCTGTTAGAAAAACCCTATACAAAAAATAAGATCATTGTTGCAACTGTGATTGGCTTCTTCATTAAATCAGCATGCAATTGTTGTGCCTGTGCTGCAGGCAAATTTACAAATTGCTCTTCTGATGTGTTTTTGACAAAGTAGGTGCTCAGAGAGTGTTTATTGTGCATCCTGGCACTACGACAACTAGGACTAAATCTTTTATGCTCATTTGTAGCACTTTCACATTTAAAGAAAACATTTATTCTCTGTCTGAAAAAAGTACCACAAGGCTCCATTTTTGGACCTCCATCTTTCTCTTTGTACCCACTTGGCACTATTTTCCAGACACATAATATTTGCTTTAACTGTTATGACTGTCAAGTTTATTTTTATAGTGAAACACATTGGTGCATGTCCTGTCCAGCCTTTCCTTAACTGGCTTATTGATTAAATTTTCCAAATTTTAATGAGAGCAAGACAGAAGTTATGTTGTTCCAGTGGCACCAAATGCACCTCCTGTGTCACATTTTCTTCTTGACCTTATATAAGAAATTCATTATCACTAATTTAGGTGTGAAAATGAATCATTCTCTATAGTTCGATCCTCATGGGAACACAGTGTCTAATTCCTGCCTTTTCCACTTGAGGCTGCTGTCACAAATCAAGCCTCTCCTGTCCATATGCAAACCTTGAAACATTAATACATGCTTTTATTACGTCTCATCTCGATTACTGCAATGCACTTTTCATAGGAATTAGCTTGACTTCACGCTCCTTTGCACCTCCTACAACTGGTGCAGAACACTAGATTTTTATCTGGTGCAACCAATAACACTCCAATTTTAGTTTCTCTACACTGGCTTCCAGAGCCTTTACAAATCCACTTTAAAATCCTTTTATTTGTTTTTAATTCTCTAAGTGGTTGTTTCCCCCGTTTCAGCTGTGTGCGCTGTTACATCCTTACATCCCGTCTCGTTCTCTCAGGTTAGCAGACCAGACGACTTCGCTTGTTACAAAGATGCAACACAAACTCAAAGACGATAGAGCTTTCACAGCTGCGGCTCCATGTATGTGGAACAATTTGCCATCGCACTTCAGGCAGTCTCCTTCACTTGCTGTTTTTAACTCTTGTTTACAGACACATTTTTACGCCATGGCCTTTGACCCAGTGTGTTCTCTAACTTTTACCCTTTGGTCTTTTATGTTTGCTGTTATTGTGCAGCACTTTGATCAGCACTGTAGTGCTTTATAAATAAAGTGGTATGGCATGGTAACCTAAGCCATGTTAAAATAAGAAATATAAGGAAAATCGTTCTGAGCTGACATCAACTCGACACAAGAGTAGAAAACCCATTGGAAACCAAGCGTTTAGTGCTGTCTGACCCCTGACCTTTTGGCTCACTGGGATTTCTTTCGCTATGCTTAATATGATCATCTAACATTGAAACTGTAAGAAGCATATTTCCCTATAAGGATTACAAGGAAGAAATTATAGCCAACCTGTTTCTGTGCTCCTACTGTAGTGACAGGTGGAGAAAAATATTCTATGTCCTTGTTAACCAAGGCTTAGAAAATGTGAGAAAAATGGGTAAAAATGCTATGAAATAATTAAATATGTTGAAATTTGCTTTAAATAAAATACACAGAATACTTTTTTGAGGAAATTAATTACTCAGTTCTAGGCACCCAACTGAATCAAACCCTTCCCATGTGGCCCCCGGTCCTTTCAGGAGGTCTGCCAACCACACACACACACACACACACACACACACACACACACACACACACACACACACACACACACACACACACACACACACACACACACACACACATTAACACGCCTCTCTCATCTAGGACAACTAGGCCACAGGAGAGAAAATGCCACCTAAATGCCAGCAAAATGCCTCTGCAACATTGTAAACAGAGCACAAGCTTTTCTTTACGTATGCACGGGCACACATGCATCATATCAGTGCAGAAAGACATGTCTGCAGGGCATTGAGCATGAACTAGGGCACCCCTTCTCTCATGGCTTTGTAAACCTTGTCACGTGTTTATTTCTTAATGTGATTGAGAGAATGAGCAATAAAACGCCAAGTTTAAAGCATCAAGGCATCATTTTATACTTTGCTCTTAATTTGTTTTCAGGTTGTTTTTTTGTTCCCCCTCTACATCACCCACATCTGGCACTTCAGGTAATAACTTACGTAGGACGTACTCTGCCCCATCATGGTCAAAGTCTGCATCCTCTGGGAAGTGGTTAATCTGAGAGCACACTCCTCTCTTCACTCCTGAGACAGACAAGAAGAAAAATGGTGACCAGACTCAACAAAAGGCAACAACTCAAAGCTGAAGCCTTATGAGAACAGTTTCTATCCTCTTGATGAAAAGACTGATTGACCTGGAAAATGTTGTACCGTGATTTGAAAATGAATCCAAGCAAATGCGCTGAATGGTAAATTTGGGTATATTGTTTAGGAACATCATCGAGGTTAATGACTCTCGTTGTAATTACAGCTTATGTTAGTAATGTCACAAACACAGTGAACGCACAGGCACAACGTAAATACATACAAGCAGACACACAGGCAGACCGATAACTACCCGGCGGGGTCTTGAATGTAGACAGACAGACGAACGGAGGGACGCACGGAACGATGATGACAGCCCACCACTGTTGTTGGTGGATGGATTTTGAGAAAGGTGGAGTGATGAAATTAAGAGACACAGACTGAGGGAGAGACGAACAGATGTGGGGTGAGATGGTCTCTCAGTGCTCCTACATTTCCACAGGTAGGTCTGTAAAGAAACAGATGGTGGTACAATGGGAGGGAAATACTGGATGAGCCACATGGATCAGGCATTTTTGAAACCCTGCATTAGTCTATGTTGGCATTTTCCATCGTCCTTTATTAAACCACAAATCCAGGACTGTGAAAATACCACCTTATGCACACACGTTCTTAGAGTATTCTATATCTATAGTCTTATATAAATGTAAGAGTTAGTTTTAGAAACACTGGTTCATGTGGTCTGCTGCCCTAAGAGGCAGAGAGAGTGAATAAAACGTTTCAGTAGCCAAATAGGCTAGTCAGTATTTCAGAAACTGCTGATCTGCTGGGATTTTCCTACACAATCATCTCTAGGATTTACAGAGAATTGTCTTAAAAACAGAAAACATCCAATGTGCAGCAGTTCTTTAGGTGAAAATGCTTCATTGATATGAGAGGACAGAGGACTGCTTCGTGTAATAAACCTCATTACAACCAATATATACATCTCTCAATTCATTTCATGGATTCCCATCAGCTGTGTGACGCTGTCATTCCAATATGGAGCAACATTTCAGAGGAACATTTCCAGCACCTTGTTGAATTTGTGCCAGGAAATAATTAAGGTAGCTCTGAAGACAAAAGGGGCAACTGAATAAAGTATTCAATGAGTGTATGTGAACGTGCTTCCAATATTATCTCACTACATGACCTCAAACACAGCTGTGCTAAGTGACTCTGGCAGCTGACATGTTCAGTATCGGGCTCACACATTTGTGGAATTATCTAACAAAAAGTCACACAGACAGATAAAATCTTCATTGACTGGTAAGTCAGTGCAACCCCACCTTGAATGAGTCTGCAGAGGGGAGAAGAGGACAGGACACGTCTATATCCACAGCACAATGTGCCACCCACCTGCAGGCATAAATCTTTTGGAGCTAGCATGTCCTGCATTTCCACCCCTTCTACACCTCACTGCATCACTGCACAACTACTGAGCATCTATCTTGGCTGAATACTCCACAGACATCAAGGATACTTGACCTCTAAGCCACGCCAAGACTCTGTCAGCTTTACTGCAGCAGAAAAGGCTGAAAACGAGAGGAAACTACAAGGAGGCAAAGATGAGGACAAACCAGTGAAAGATGAAATGTAAAAATGTTTGGGGGAGGAAGGCAGAGGGATAGCAAGTGGAAAAAACTGAGAGAGAGAGCGGTGAGGGAAAGAGTGGGTGGGGGTGCACTGCAGCAGAGCTGCAAGGGCTAGAGCTTATCTCTAATTGGCTGCTTTGCTATCAGGAAGCTTAGAGATGAGGACAAATTAGCTTTGTACAATGACCAAGCCCAGGATGGGCCAGGGATGCTTTATAAAGAGAGCCAAGCGGTTTTCCCGGAGACAAAAAAAAGCTTTTACCTCAGTCTGCATGTGAGCAAAGGCACAGATCGCAAACTCACACCACCCCTTTGCTTCTTCACTGTTAACTCCATCCCAGCTTTTACTGTAGAGTGTCAGGCAGGCAGTGTAATGTATAATGAATTAGCAGCTTGTGTTGCAGTGACACAAGAAGTGAAGATTGAGAGATGGTTGCTGCCAGATTCTGTATCTTCCGCCACTTGAAATGAGAAGCCGATGGGTGAACAGAGGCTTTTGTTTCAGCAATTGACTTGAATGAATGCATCCTGAATCACAGACAATGATTAATGGATTATTTTGGATGAGGGTTACGCTTCAGTATCACGTAATTATATTGCAATTATGCAAAATTGTTTTTTTTGGTCCTGTGGCACGGTCGACCAAACACAAATGAAATGTGTATGTTGGTGCTGCTGCAGTGCTGCGCCCTCCTGAACAAAGTTTTTCTAAAGTCAAGTGAGAGGTTCTTGCTGTTAGACTCTGATCCCATTTAACAGAAGAACAATGCATACTATTAAAAATATGTGACTGAATAATGGGAAATGTACTCCCATTTATAAGCTTTAACATTTCAATGAGATACGATTGTCTCGTTGGACCTCAGGAGCGGGTTTCAGGCCACCAGCTTGAAGGTTAAATATTTGAATATAGAAAATTAAAAAAAGAGCCAATAAATACAGTATAATAAACAGAGTATCAAAATTACTGCGTGCAGTGATTAATGTGATTTAAACAGTGGTTCAATTCATCTGCTGCCTGCACAGCATCCAGTCTGAAACCGCCACGACCATAACTTAAAGTCACACAATACTGTGAGTGCCCTTCCACCCTGCAACTCTATTATATCTCTCAGTTCAATATGAACCTAAAGATCCAGAAAGTAGCTATAAACTTCAAACTTTTTCAAACATGCGTCTACTTAAGTCCAAATCCCGCACACAGATTCCTGTCGATGAAAGCTCTTTTGTTACCTTCCAAGCAGCATATTCTCCATAGACCGGAGTGGGTGAGAGCACCAGGGTCCTTCTTGTCCTTATTATGAGGGTCATCCTGGGTCACGTTGGCTGTGCTGTTGCAGATGAGGGCACGGGAGTACAGCCAGTAGTCCGTGCCTATTGCCACCGTCATCAGGCCGAAGGCAGCGAATGCCCCCACGGTGGTGAGAAGGATCTGGATCCCCTTCTCACACACCATGCCTTTAAGGGAAACCAGAAAGTGGAGGAAGAGGTGAGTGAGAAGTTGGAGAGAGTGGGCATCAGGAGTGCAAATAAAAAGCATTTATCGAAGAGTAGGAGAACAAGGAAGAACTTAACAAAGTGCAGTTTATTAAAAAAGACAGCAAACAAAGAAGGTGAGATGATGAGGAGCAGGAGGAGGCGAGGGGCACCGGTGGGAGGGAGAGAGGGAGGCGATGAGAAAAGATGAGCGCGAGGTGTAGGCGGATGTGGGAGGTGCATAAGTGGCTCTATGATGTGTCCTTGGAGGAGAGTTTGATGACTCTGCTGACTCTGCTTAACAAGACAGAATTGATGTGAAGCACAACAGATCTCACCCTCCCAAACTCAGTCTACTCCATATTCATGACCCTGACAATGTTCTCCCCCTCGGTATCAGCAGGGCTCAATGCACACACACACACACACACACACACACACACACACACACACACACACACACACACACACACACACACACACACACACACACACAGAGCAGATGAAACATGGGATCACCTTGCACCTACTTCTATTACAGAGGCAATGTTGGTGAACCTCTTACATACAAACATCCATGTATACACTCACACATTATCGCAGAGTTACCTCCACAGATATTTCTGTTGTGTTAAAAGTTTCCTTTTCACAGACACAAATGTGCTAAACCTGACGGTGCAGAGAGTGACAAAGTGAGACCTACCTGACGGCGAGTTTCTATCCTTCGACTCAATTTTGAAATCTTTCTTTTCCTCGTCAGTGAAGAACGTGCTGTCCCCTCGATCCGGACAGCATCCATCGACTGTGTTCACCCGCTCTCCTCTCTCCTTCTTGCTCTTGTCCTCTCTCTTGCCTCTGTCTCTTTCTCTCTCTTTCTTTTCGACTCACTGGAAAGTTGGTGCTGGTGGAAGTTGTGGACGGTTGTCCCGCCCTCTGCTCGTCTGCTGTTAGCAGGAAACTTGCAGATAGAAGTCCATGGTCACTGCTCTGATGCTGCACATGAACAAAGACAGAAATATATTGCACTGTATTAAATTTATGTACAGCAGTAAATATTAAGTCATGACTCTGCAGATGAGGGCTATTATGTAACGGTTGACATGAGCCATTGTTGTATTTAACTTCTTTTCACATGTGCATCTATAAGACTTTTTAGCTGGTATCATGGATAACAAAGAGCTGTATAAATTAGGACTAAATTAGTAAATGGACTCTTATTGTTGCTGTGATTTTTGGGTCAACGACATATTATGAAAAAAGTAAATGTGGCACATTACATTACTTTCCTTAAATTAAAATTTCATTTTGCCAGCTCAACAGTAGGGTTAGGGCTAGGGTATCCTTCGTATCCTTATATTTGAGGAAAATGATATTTCTGTTGGCATGTGGTCATTTGGGAAGACTTCCATAAAATTCTTTAAGTTATTATGAATTAATTTAAGTTATCCCAAGTAAGATTTATAATATGCTCAATATTTGCTTGGAACCAAGTCGCAACCTCTGTGGATTGAAATAGAAACATGCAGTTCCTCAAATGCACAGCTCTACAACAACGTTATACATTCACCAGCCTATTTGTAAGGTCCATCTCGAGAGTAATGGGTTGGACCTTCTTAAAGCTGGTGTGTGCCAAGAAAATATCCCCCACAACATTATCCCACCACCAGCAGCAGCCTGAACCATTAATACTTAATAATTTATCAGTGGGTGGCTGTAGCTCAGGAGGCCAATCGGAAGGTTGGTGTTTCGATCCCTGGCTCCTCTGGTCTCCAGTCTGCATGTCTCAGTATCCTTGGGAAAGATACTGAACCCCAAGTGGCTCTCCCATGTCTTCCATGGAGTATGTTAGATAGAACGCACTTATGTGTAGCAAACAATACTTGTATGAATGAGTGAATGTGCCATGTTGTATAAAGCACTTTGAGTAGAACAGAAGGGTGGTCTACAAGAACCACTTAATTTACTATTTATACTTTCACACTGCTAATGTCAAATTCTCACCTTACCTTCTGAATGTTGCAGCAATGTTTTTCTAATCTTCTACTGTCTAATTTTGATGAGCCTGTGGGATTTGTAGCCTCAGTTTCATGTTCTTAGCTGACATGAATGGCACTTGGTGTGGTCTTCAGCTGTTGTAGCACATTTTCTTGAAGGTTTGAGATGTTGTGTTATCAGAAATGCTCTTCTGTATACCGTGCTTGTAACAAGTGGAAGGCAACAGTTTGAACTTTGGCTGCCTTCCTATTATCCTGAAGTGGTCTGGCCATTCTATTCTGACCTCTAACATCAACAAAGTATTCAGCTCACCTGTTTATTCAGTCTATTCAGGCTTAAAGTTTATTTATTAGCGCCATGGCTGCCTTAACTAGCCAATGCTAACTGCTAGCTTCTTCTGCTGGGATTCACCAATTTGTTTTTAATTCACTGAGCTTGACCTCTTTACAGTTTGGCCTTTTATATATTTAATTGTACTAATGGACCTCCCAAAAATTCTGTGCATCCCCTTTGGTGAGTGAATGTCTTATGTTTATTTAATTACACATCACAGTTAGCAGGTGTATGTGATATGCACTCAGCTAGCTAAGCTTGGGGCGATCATGGCTCAACAGTTGGCAGTTTGTCCTGTATTCGGAAGGTTGCCAGTTCGAGCCCCAGCTCCGACAGTCTTGGTCGTTGTGTCCTTGGGCAAGACACCTCACCTGTTGCCTACTGGTGGTGGTCAGAGGGCCCGGTGGTGCTAGTGTCCTGCAGCCTCGCCTCTGTCAGTGCGCCCAAGGGTAGCTGTGGCTACAATGTAGCTTGCCATCACCAGTGTGTGTGAATGACTGAATGTAGTGTAAAGCGCTTTGGGTCCTTAGGGACTATACAAATACAGGCCATTTACTTGTTAGCATTCATGGATAAATTAGCACTCCAACCTTGGTTATTGAATCTGAAATTAAAAATGGTGAAACAACATTTTATGTACTTGAAATCGGCACACTGTCACCGTGATAGTGATGTGTCGTCGCAAACGAAATGGCTCTTAGAGCCGGATCTTTGGCGTGAATGACGCGAGCCGGCTCCTTATCGCGAGCTGTGGGGTTTTTTTTCTTTCTCTCACCCTCTCTCGCACTTTTTTCCGCTTCACTCCGCACGTGAGCCTTGTGCTTTGCGCTGGGAAGAGGGAGAGGGGCAGTAGTTACACTTGCAGTAGCACAGGAACAGAGCGGGAGGGAGAGGCAGAGAAAGAGAGCCAGGGACAACAACCTCACATTAGAAAGGTATAGTAATCAACCACAACTATTTTCAGTTGCAGATGCTAAAGGATTCAGAAAGTTTATTCATGCAGGCCCATATGACAGAGAATGTGCATCTTCTTTTTGTTTTCATATTTTAATTTATATTTAATTGTGTTGTGGTTTGCAGTGTTTTGTGTTGTTTCACTTTAAATTTGTTTAAAAGGAAAAAGCTGAAATTTTAAATAATTAAAAGTTGAAATATAAATAGTTGTTTTTTGTATTATATGATTTATTTATTGCATTTTATGTGGAGTGAATAAATAAAAGTATATCTACGATGGCCCCTCGAGACAAAGCCCATACAAACTTCAAAACACGTACGAACTCTGAAGCACGTACAAACTCCAAAACACGTAAAAACTCAGAAGAACATAAAAACTCCAAAACACGTACAAAAGACAACAGAAGTGCTCCAGGATGTTAGGGCGCAGTGTTGAGTTTTTGTTACCTAGTGGCTACACAAGCCAGCAAGTACCAACGACCGGATTTGGTGTGTGGTAGTAACAGGTAAATGAACATTTTTTTAAATTATTTGATTATATATGTGTGCTTGTGTATAAATACACAAACAATACACATATGCCTTCAATTGTGTAATTTAAGTGATCTAGTAGCTCTGTTTTGGAAGTTCAGTTAACGCTAGAAATGTGTTTTGGAGTTTGTACGTGCTTTGTCTCTAGGTCTAGGGGCCACCACATATATTTATATATAAACATATATAAATTAAACCACTTTTTTTTTTACATTAGTAATTCATTTTGTGCATAATTTTATATTATTGGTAATAATAAATTAATTAAAGCAACAAAATAACCCGAAGAGCCGGTTCGGAGCCGAAAGAACCGGCTCTTTTTAGTGAGCCGAGCCGAAAGAGCCGGAAATCCCATCGCTACACCGTGAGGCATGCTGATGTTAGCATTTAGCTCGACTGCTGCCTAACAGACCTGTGTGGCATTCAGGAATGTCGACGGTTTGTAAATTAATGGAAGTGAAGTGTATGACATGAGTTATGATTTATTTTCCATGCTTAGGGTTATGGCCAAATTAGTTTTTCCATTTTCAGCTCTGCTCTGTTGTGTGTTTTAACACTGTTTACAGAAAGTGTAGTCACAGGAGGGACAGCTTTAAAGGTTAAAGAGAGAATGAATCCAGAGCAAGGAAACTGCATCTACTCTGAATAAGAGGAGCAAGAGGGGGAGGCAGGGAGGACCAACCCGACATTGTTACCATAGCAACATTGAATTCCAAAGTCTGGATCAGCATCGAGCGAGGGGGGTGATGGGGGGAGACAGAGGGAGAAAGGGGCAGAGATGGGAAAGAAAGAGGCAGAAATAAGGCAGATATTTCAAGACACTAACGGCGTGTTGACTCTGAGGCCGGGGCAGAAGGACGAGCGTGCTAAAGCTTTATCAATAGATAAATGTGTGACCACAGCAACACAGATGCTCTGGGTCACACACACACGCACGCTCATAAATACACATGAATAAAGACTAAACGGCATCCGTTACCGAGGGCACAGGAAGTATTTCCTTTTCTCAGCGTCTTTGTATGATGGGTTTTGAAACAAACACGAGGGTAGGATGAAGCAGCACACATTATTCAGCAAACATTATTTAGCAGACATAATGCAGTGCAGTCAAGTCTGTTAATATTTGATGATGCAATATGGCACCGTGATCAAAATAGGTTACATCCTGTTTGCATTGTGAGGCCCAAAACAGAGCTGCCTCAGAGACAGAAAAAGAGACATGGAAGGAGAAACGGTGTGTGTGTGTGTGTGCACATTTCCTCTCCAGTGCTTCTGAGGATGGGTCTAGTCCAATCTTATTGAATCCCAGCAATGTTCCCCTCAGCTCCCTTTGGTTAGACAGTTAGCCTTGTATCTCTGCTTTCAGGCATCTTATTATGTAAACTGTCAAATGACACCACCACAGTGTGGCTTATTATTTATACACTGTGGTTGAATATGTGTAAGCAAACAAGCGAAAGTGATTGTGTGTGTGTGTGTGTGTGTGAGTGTGCCGTATGACCTTCCAACCCTATCAACATGCTGCCTCTCCCTGTGGAAAATACATTTCTAGAAGGGATTACACTATCTCCAAGGCGTAAAAATACAGTATCTAATCTGTGTGTACGTGTATGTGTGTGTGTGTATAGTCTTTGACTCCATGTAATGAATGACCTTAAGAATAACCTACAAAGTTACTCTCCCGAGTAAAAACTCCCCTGCGTGGGCGGAGATCATAATTGTCATTTAATTATCTGTAATTTCTATTTTCCAGCAATAATTAAGAAAGAGGGGAAAGAAGAGAATGGCACAGAAGCTAGAGCAAGAGAGCGTGAAAGAACAAGAGGCCATGAAAAAAAATTAAAGAGCTGCACAAAAAATATTAAAGGGGTTCAAGGTCAGATAAGGGAGAAGGCATTGTAACTTTTCTTTAGGCTAACAGGAGTCTTGCTTTTTTTAAAAAAGTCTTTATGGTGTAGTTAAAAGGGTATGTGAACATGACATGCTTCTTTTGCAGTTTAAAATGAGAAGACTTTGTATTTTGGGGAAACATATACTGATTTAGGCTAGGTTGTATCAGGTAAAACAATAAAAAAAGAGACTGCAATAACACTGTCTCTACCAAAAACCTCCTCCATGCAGGGATTTTGTTGCTCTATGAAACCCCACTTTGGCATTTTGATAATGAGCCATACTGCTGT